ACAAGATAATAATAATAACGATAGCAATAATAATAATAATAATAATAAAGCCGGTAACATTAACGATAGCAACGACGATAATAATGATACCAATAATAAATATATGGAGTATTTCTAGGCAGAAATTATGTTTCGTTTTGATTTTAAAAAGTACACATCATATCAAATGATATCCCGTGTTAATTAAATGATAGAAATTAATTGATATTTCTTACTGACTTTGATATGTCAACATAAAATATTTCTATTTGTAATTGAAAACTGAAATTTAAGAGAATATCGGCAGTCATTATATGGGTAAAGATGAATATAGCGAGGGTCGGGCAGCGGACAAAGGCGCAGAGGTATTTCAAGATGTGAAAACAACGTTCTTCGTTCTGCTAGCGATTTATTTTCCGGCGGTGACTGGCATTCTTACTGGAGCGAATATGAGTGGTGAGTAGTTTGATTTGTTCTCTGATTAGAGTAGTTTGAAGAATTTCATCAAATGTTTATAGCAGTTGTTGAATTGGGTGATCGTTTTGCGACAAAATTTTGGTATTTTTTATATGAACAAGGATAATTCACACTTGTTCTGAATTAAACGCTTGTTTAGCTGAGTGTGGTTAAAATCGAATTTGTTATAAATCATGGAAATGATTTCACATTAACAAGAATTTGAACATGCGCAGAGGTTTTACCGAGAACAGCATTTTTATTTGGGTAGCGGTAGTCAGGATTAGGTGTATGCGGCTGAACGTCATTAGCTGCACTGTTGAATTTGAGAATTTATCGATAAATGACACCGGCCATTGAATTATTCGAGAGTACAACTTTTCGGGATGTCTTTTGAATTGTTACCCTTATTTTAGGTGATCTGTTGAATCCGCAGTCGTCAATCCCAACTGGCACAATAACAGCACAATTGACAACATCATTCATCTACTTCTCACTCGCACTCTGTTTTGGAGCTTCGATTGATGGGGCTGTACTGCGGGATAAGTATGTTAACGTTACCATTTTTCATTTCTTCGTTAGTTTGAATCAATTTTTTGTATTTTTCGGTTTTTTCGATTTCGATTTTTGTATTTTTCAATCAGTTTGTATTTGTATTTTGTATTTTCCGGTTTAATTATTGTCATTCAGTGCGTTTTTCGTATCATTTTATCACGGTGATACAGTCATTCTTGATTCTACCACTGTCTCAAATGTTTTCCTATGAAATTGATGGTTGTGATTATCATTTCTTTGCCACATAATCACACTGTCACCAATACTCCTGTCCGTCGTCTGATGGGATTTTCCTGATTTAGTTATTCTCATCAAAATGTGATCGGGAATCATGTGGAGTTTACCTCATTCAATTTCGTTTCTTCCAATCCACTAGACCAGTGTTCCATATGCTGGGAGGCATTATTACCTCATTCGATGGTGTGACAGAATTTTGTTTTACCTTTCCCTCCTCGTGCAGATATTTACTAGTTCCATGTCTGGATCAGTTCGAAAATCCATCCAGAAATTCTTCGTATCCGTAAAAGAAATTAATTGAGAAATCCGCCTATGAGAAACAACGCCTGGACTGTGTTCATGATTCGAGACAATCATAATTTAGCGATTAGCATTCGCAAGCGATTGATTTTCGCAGTAATCAAGTTAATGGACTTGTTTATCGTTGCATTTCAATATCATTAAGTACAGTAGTCGCAATAATACATATTTTTTGATTGAAATACTTATTGCGCTGAACCATTGACGGCAGTTATCCTACAATATGTTAGTGCTTATATGAAAAATTGTCCTATAAACAATTTTCTCATTGAAATCCAATATGAATCGCTTGTAAAATCAACTGCTTACAACATGTTTACGCTGAAATTCTCATTAGGAATACAAAATTTCTCCTCTATGAAAATTTTTTTCAAATTGTATCCATTATTCGATTTTATTATAGTCATTAAACTGTGCTTCATTCTCGTTTATCAATAATAATGGTTTCTTTCGTATTTTTCGAACTGAATGTGTTAGAGTTCATTTTATGAGTTCTGCGATTTGTAGCCATAAGAATTTATGTGAAATTCATTGTTTCCAATAGTAATAACTTATATATTTTTATTCATATCGCGAGAAAGTCATACGTGTTCGAATTGTCTGTTGCTTGTTATTCGGACTTGAAATTATTATTTCATAGTCGAGCAGTTGAAAATTTTAGAAATTATTTCACAACGGAGGGATTGTCTTATCATTGTTTTTGTTGAAAGAATCAGTTTTAGTTTCTCCGTATTTTAGATGCAGATCGTGAATCTGATTATTTTATGCATTGCAAAAATCAGATTATTTATGCATTTGAAAATTTGTTGAAGATTTGAATGGAGGACTGTTTAAAGCTTAAGCAAGATTGAGAGTAAGCATAAACATGGCGTCTAAATTCCAGCTTAAGTGCAGTTGTATGTGCTAGGCTGACATATTGAAATTTTTGAATTGTCCATTCTCCAGTATAACTCGTTGGGAAAGCAGGTTCACCTTCGTCGCACTCTTAAAACCATTTGACTCGTAGTTATAGTGAAAGTTATTTTTTTTCGCAAGAGTGGCACGCACATGAGATATTCAATTGTATAATTGCAGAAACTTGTCACTTTAACGTGCGATTTCTATTTTGAGTTGTATTTATGATTTGACAGTGTAGTAGTATTTATGCAATCAAAGGCATTGTATTATTCATTATTATGTTAATTGTACTGTGGCCTGAATATAGATTATTATGACCATAATTTAGATACGGCTCATCACTCGGTGGTGGTATGGTAGTCGCGAATCTGGCTTGGCCGAGTCCGTGGGTTTTGTTGATTGGTTCGTTCACGTCGACGTTCGGTGCTGCTTTGCAGTGTCTTTGCAGTTGGTTTATTCACTTTTTATTTGCTTTTTTATTGGTCATTCATTATCGTTCTTCATTCATCTCGTATTTGAAACGATCCAAATCAATTGACTTATCACTCGCTTGTTAGTATGCATTTAATTGTTTATTTATTTACAAAGTTATTCGTTTCACACGAGCAAGAGGCCGTTAACACTTATCACTGATATCTTGTCACTGGTTTCATCAATATTGAGAAATTAGCAGATCGTGACTAAGCCAACAGAGAGATGGGATGTATTTTTGATAAACATCTGCCTTTGTCGTGTCAAGACTGGGGACAATTCGCAGTGTTTCCGTTTTCAGGTGCTCCTCGTTTGCTTCAATCAATCGCAAAAGATGATGTTATCCCAATTTTGAAGCCATTCGCGAAAGTGACCGAAAAGAATGAGCCTTTCGTCGGGTTGGTTTAATAATTTATTAATTACTTAATAATGGTTCCAATTGACGGGGATTATTCGATTCGAGATTATATCAAAGAAATGAAGTAATTGGTTGCAATATGATATCTGTTTTAGTATTGAAATAGTTGTAAAAAACAGCCATAAGACTGGTGAATGAAGGGAGTAATGAGCAGACAACGATTATAACAAGTAATGATTTCGATAGAAGTAATGATATGCATAACTGGTACGTGTTGGTAAAAATACTGGAAATGATTATGAGCAATATGATGTGATAATCGAAGCAATAATGATATAATGCCGACATATAGTAATATGTAATATAGTACTAACAGTNTCCTGCTGGGAGCACTTTTTGATGAAATTCTCGTTGAGCTCTGTAAAAATTTGAAAAATACTTTCCAATTCTCATCGTAAATCTGGGTGAGTAGAATTTATGCATTGCAGGACTCTATCGTTACTTGGTGCTGGTTTGTGCTTTTTCATAATGTTCTCAACACATTGGGATTATGCACTCGTTTCGTGTGTTCTCTGTTTGGCCATTTACAAATATGTGGAATGGAAAGGGTAAATATTTCTTTCTGTGATTGATACGAGCAAAAATTGTTCTTCATTTTATTCTATTTGAATCATTTTGATATTTAACAAATGAGATTTGTTGAATTTTTGTTGATTATTTTTGATGCTGAAATTGAATTTTATTTTAGTTTATAAAATTTAGTTTATGTATTGGATTGTGTTTATCATTTTGCAAAAAATGAGACTTTTTGAGTGGACGTTCTAAAAATGCATTTGGTAACTTTACGGGCATGAATTTCATTCGTAGAAGGCGATTTCAAAAAACCAGATCTTGCAATGGTAATATTGAGAGCAACTGATAGCAGTAGTAAATTATGATAAGACTGGTAGTGACGGCGATAAATGAAGTAATGTGAATGGATTGAATTGAAGAGCTAAGAAGGAATGGGGTGATGGAATTCGCGGCTTGGCTCTATCCACTGCACAGTATTCGCTGATGAAAATTGAGGATAAAGATCCACATCCGAAGAATTTCAGGTCATCTTCGAATATTACCATTTTTGTTCATTTGTGTTCATATAGCTNGATAAGTTGCGATTATACTTTTTGTAAGTTATAAAATTATGATTTATTTACAATCAGTTAAAAGTGTTCGTTCACAATGAAATGATTGCAGACCGCAATTATTGCTGCTGTTCTCAATGCCGTGGTCGAAAGAAACCATCGATTTGCGGTATTTGAAATTACTGAATTTTGCATCGCAGTTGAAAGCTGGTCGAGGTTTGAGTATTGCGGTTGCTTTCATTCGAGGCAATCCGCTAAGTATTGAGGATCGAGGCAAAGCCGAGCAGGTGACCAATGTTGGTTTGTTTCTTTGAGAGAGCGATTTTCCTAACCAATCACTCTTCTGCACCAGTCATTAGTGACAGTTTCATCGCATCTGATAACTCATCAGATCAATGTAACATTTAAAGTTATGACTGTAAATACAAATTCAGGTCAAAAAACGTATGGAATTCGACATGGGTCAAGCGAAATTGAGGGGTTTTGCAAAGACACTCGTTTATGGTGAAGGACAGGTGAGTGGATGGTATTTATCGAAGAATTACGGTTGCAATGGTATCGAAGAAATGGTATTGAAGTAATAATGGTTTTGAGGGGGATTTGTTTACGGTTTGGATTGATTGAACTCAAATAACGATCGAATACAATCCATATCAAATCATTGTAAGATTAGCAATGTTTAGTTGATAATTTCAGATAACCGGAAGTTTGACTACACTAATCCAAAGCGTTGGAATGGGTGGTTTAAGACCGAATACTTTGCTACTCAAATGGCCAACTTATAGTGAAGAACGAAGTCGAGAGGCTATCGATTCGGAATATCAGACGTTCACTGGTGAGATCTTCGGAGATTATTTTTATCGATTGATTAGATGATCAGCAAATTTCGTGATTCCACCGGGAAAAATACATTATAATTTGTGATCGTTAAAGTTAAATAGTCGTAAAGAAACAATTGCATTAGGCCAATGATCCCACGCTCGGTTGCTGCATTGCCCCTTTCGATGGTCTGATAGGTCGTCATCACCCCCACCCCCTCCCGCTGCAATAATTTGCTATTTCCACGCATAACGTCAGAACTGATTTCCTGATACCCACCATTACCCCGTGACAAATCTAAATTCCCCAAAAATGAATAATCTGCCCTCTATGGGGGCCCCTGCATAGACTTTATGTATTGATGATCAGTTCTTATTCAGTACAGCAACATTATGCGATATTGAATCTTTACTTTGCGATTTATAACTGATCCATTTTGGTAGGTTGTATTGA